CGTGTAGCCCGCAAAACACCAGTCCCTGCATTCTCCTTGATGCTTGGGTAATATAGAAATAGGTCCATGGACTAATTATTCCATTAAAATTGATGCCTAGTCCTACTTACAAAGTAGTCCGCGGGACATCTGTGCTTCATATGTCGCATGCAAATCTACTATTTGAGTTGGATCCCGTGCCTCATTCAAACAACGAATGTCCCGTAGACTTTGAACTTTGCACGTGTTCTCGCGCAAATGAAACCATAAATGAAGCCACCCGCCCGCGCCAGTAACGGAGTATACATCTTTCCATAAAAGCGTACGAGGGCGCGTTCATTGCTGTGTTTGTGCCATTTGCTTTCAAGGGCCGCACGAGGCACGCGCCTTGTGCACTGGCGCATTTGACGCTACTTGCAAGGCAAACGTAAACAGATTGGGGGGCTTCAGTAGTGTGAACATAGAATAAACGGATGTCCACCTGCTTTGATCATGATCACGATCATGAGCAGATTATGGGAGCGGCATACACGAGGAGCTGGCACGAGAGGCACTTCGGCGCCTCGTCACTTCGTCACAAAAATGCGTCCGAATCGGACACGCTCGCACGTTTTTGTTTTGTTTCTTGTGCGTTTCCTTAACCACCCGCCTTGCGCTCGTTATTTGAGCGGTAACTTTAGCGCAGGCCGCGCTTAGAATCTTTCGAATATTCACTTATACAGTTGTTTTCAATGACGCTCATCAAATTTATTAGTCAAACCATATGTTTATTTGCAATAAATAAAAAGGCTGTCATTCTTTGGAAGCCGCGGGTTCGCTGTCCGCACACACTGTCGGAAGGAGTGGCTAGGTAACGTCAGTGTTTTAGCCTGCCGTTTTGTTTTTAATGCGAAAGCATTAACTGCTTTATGAAGCCAACCGGCGTTATCAGCTTTTGAAGCGGCGCCAAACGGCACCTAAATTTCCCTGTCCTATGGAGCGAAGCCTGAAGTCTGTAACAGCGAATTGGTGGATGCATTCCTATTGGCTCGCGCGCGCCATAGTTTCAAGGACCGCCACCCCACAGAGAAGCGCTCTCCATGACTCAGCGGCCCGGCTTCCGGTAAGAGGGAGAGGGTGGCCGGGCTCTGCAGAGTGGTCGGCCGCTCGAGCTCCACCTGGTTCCCGCTACCATCGCATAACTTTTGTGAATGGCCTAAAGATTCCGAATGAGATTCTGCTCGCTATCGTCAGTTACGAGGTCCCTCGTGCTGCAAAATAATTTCATTTATTTCATTTATTATACCCTTACAGCACCCGGTAGGGGCTTTACATAAGGGGGGGGGGCAAAAACAACAATACAGATACAAGTCAACAAGAGTTAGGATTTTTTTCCTCCTTCCGCTTTTTTTTACATATTGTTTCTTTACTGTCACGATGTCGTCGGGGAGGGAATTCCAGTCTGATATAGATAACTGTAAGGGAGAAAATTTGAAAGTGTTAGTTCTAGGAGTGGCAAGCTGAAGTTTCTGTGAGTTGTCTGTGCGTGCCGAGACATGGTGGGCAGCTGGGCAATATTTTTCTTTCTTTGAGGGTGAATGATAGTACATGTGATGAGGGGCAGTTAGTCGTGTTACTTTACGTCGGTCAGCAAGAAGGGGTATATTAGTTTGTTGTTTTAGTGTTGTTATACTTGCACGGGTATAATTGCGGAGAACGAAGCGGATTCCACGGTTTTGAATGGCTTCTAACTTGTCAATAAGATATGACTGATGCGGGTTCCAGATGAGAGATGCGTATTCCAGCTTGGGACGAAGATGCAATCAGTTTTGTTTCCCGAGTTGCCAGGTGTAAGTGACGTCTTAAAAATCCGAAGTGCATGCAAGACTAGAAATAAAACAGCGCGGAGTAGGTAGGCTGGCTTTGGGGGCGCATTGCAAAACGCCAAACCAGGGAGTACAAGGAGACATGGGATGGGCGTCTTTTGAGAGCAGGGAGGCGGTGAGCAAGATAGAAGTTGAGGATCGGTTGAGGCAAATGGATGGGGACCAATGGGCACGAAACGTTTTCAGCTATTTATACATAAGGAGCATAGACACAAAGTGGAGACAGCGCACTAGGAAATTAAGAGGAAAGTTTTTAGGCTATAGTGGAGATACGGAAGAGCAGGTCTCAGTTAAGAAGAAAGTTAAGGCCACAGAAAGAGATCGGTGGTTAGACGGAATGCAGACAAAGACGGCTCTGGAAAGCTATAGATTAAACAAAACAGTTATTGCCAAAGAAAGCATTTATGACAACTCTAGGGGAAGCTCATTGTTGTTTGAGGCGAGGACGGGTGTTCTGCGAGCCAGAACATAGGTACCAGGAAATGGATACAGTGTGCACTGCTTGTAAAGAGGAGGACGAGACGGCTGAGCACTTGATAATCTACTGTAAAGGGCTTCACGCTATGCCTGCCGAAGACAACATGGATTTAATAAAGTCATTGGGTTTTAGAGACAGCGAAGGGAGAGTGGATTTCAGGACTGTAGAGATTACCAAGCAAAGATTAAGTGAATGGTGGCAGAAAGCGAGGGAAAACTAGGTATTTTCTTATTAACTGATGGCAAGGGGGTTTTATAGCCCCACTTTCTTTGCAGTGCGGAGTGAATATAGATTTTACATTTAAATATTCTAAGCTTAAATGGTAAAACAAAATGGCTAGGTGGCATAAGCTACCGCCCGATCCAAAGGGCTCAGCCGCATCCATCCATCCATCCATCCCAAACAGAGTTTGGGTTCTACGCATGCGCAGCGCTTAGCCCCTATTTCTTTGGAGCCTCAAAGCTTTGGGACCCCCTATTATAAAACTCTCTATAACTGTCGTGCTGCTTCAGCTACACGATGGCCTAAAAGCAAGCTACACCTACCAGCGTCGTTCCTGTGACCGGGGAATGGGCCCGTGGAGTTCGCAGATAATTCCATTGGCGCACACGATAGCCTGGTATTTGAGGGCGTGCACTCTCTTGTGACCAGACAAGTAAATCTTCTGATTCAGAGACGGTCGGCAGATGGGCCTTGCTGTGCCGTTCCAACTGGTGTTACCGTCCCTATTATTTGAACCGCAAGCCACAATCAAGCGTCGTTTCAGCGCAAATGTTTTACGTTTTCATAATTTTTCACTGTTAAGAAGTTCGTTCGTTGTCCACAATGGCGCTGCACGCGAAAAAGGCGAGCTTGCCGCGTTGCGTCGTCAGAAACCCTATTCTATAAGCACGCTGCGTGAGGTGTCGTTGCGTTGGGTACCCCAAAGCGTTGAGGCCCCCTATTCTAAAACTCTCTATTACCGCGACTGTTTAATTGATTTGCGCGGCACACAAGCACCGGTTTCGGCTGAAATTTGGGCAACGCGGCCTGAGACGTGCTTGGAACCCAGTTCAATCGCCAAAAAAATATCCGAAATTGCCTTCATTGTCCTTTTAAATGTCTGTCGAAATGGGAGCGAGCATGGTATACAATTTCTTAGAACTTCATAAGTAAACCGACCAACCAAATGTTTACGTCGCAAACAAAGATTGAGAACCTCACACACATGTAGGTGTGATATTATGAACAAACAAATCTCCTGATGCTGATGTACCATTATTCCTAGCCACAGACAAAATACAAGTTAAACGTTCGTTGTCTATCTCCTCCGCGACTTTCCTCACATAATCAACATAAACTGTTTTCGCTATATTATGAATACAAAGAACGGTATACTTTCAGGAAATACATGCAGATAGTCTGCTTGCGCTAACTATTCTTGAGGCACTGATCTGCATCCCCGCTCCACGAGTGCGGCCACCGGACGACCATCTTGCATGGTAAATTTTTTCGTTCATTCGCCGAAGATAAGATCCTGTCCTGTGTGACGCGTGATACTTGCCGTAGAAAACGCGAGGAAGTTTTTACGAAAGCGCAGTGCCGCAGGAAAAAGGCACAACTCGTCGAAAGCAAGTTTCGCCGGCCTCGCGCCGGTCTCGCTGCGCGGCTTCCTTGGTACGCCGAAGAGCCGTGTCTCTGTGCCTTCGCACGCTTGGATACCGACCAAGAATCGAGCACGAAAGCGCGATGAAACGCGACGAAAAACACGAATATGCAATGCATCCGTCAAGGCGTTGGGTTCCTGGACTGCTGGGATGCTATCCTGTTCTGGGACGTGCTTCAACGCACTCTTAAAAAAGACCTACCGCTCACGGCTCGGGGAATACGCTTTTTGTCTGTGGAAGGGACGCCTTTCCCATATGACCTCGTATTTTTACTGGGCCTGCACGCTATTTGGAGATGTAGGATGGCAGTTCGTCACGCGGATCTGGATGCCCGTCCAGTACGGTATTATTTCATTGCAAATATAAACTTGATAGCAGCTGTCAACGAGAAAGTATGTCTGGAACTGGAGTGGTTGCCTGCATTTCTGAAGCTGTCGATGATGAGAGAATTTTAACAATTCTCACCGCCTCTCCAAACCTTACAGGCGACGTCCTATCGTCGCCTTCACTAACGTCGTCAATATAATATTGCACATGTTCAAGTGAAATTTGTCGTGCATTGTGAATCTTTGTTCACTGTAAAAAATCTTGCAATAAAGAAAAAAAAAAAAAGGATCGGTGGCCGAGTGGTCTAGCGCACACCAGCTCGGAGCACGTGGAGCGAAAGCTCGCGCTGCAGAACCCAGGGATCCTGGGTTCGAGCCCCACCCCTGCCCGTTTCGATCTGGATGAGCATCGTACCGGCGTGCGGTCGTGTGTCACTACTGCGTGGTGCACGTTAAAGACCCCAGGCTAGCGGCTGTACCGCACTGGCTAAATTTCTCATCTACAGCTGGGAGACTCGTCGCCCCTGTGAGGCAGACCAAGTTCTAGGCTGTATAAACACACACACAACCCAATTTTTTTCCGTCAAGGCGCGGAGGGGAGAGCAGAGCAAACAAGTTGAAGCAACCTAATGGCTGCCGCGTCACGTGATTCAAAGATGGCAGCGCCCATGCATGCGAGGGAGGATGAAAACGTATCTTCGCCTACCTCGAAGTACGGCAGATCCTGGTCGTCCAGCTCGTTGACGAAAGAGACGGGGCGCCGTTCCAGCCCCCCGCTGATGTCATCGCACAACATCCTGCCTACTGTAGAAGAAACCAACGTTTGACAAGCTCCGCGGAAGTTCGTCATTCCACCGATTCCGTCGCTCCTGCCAGTCCATAGGGTCCATAGTAGACCTGTGCGCCGCCGCCGCCGCCGCCGCCGCCGCCGCCTGTTTTGCTCTCGCCACTCTGCACCGCCGTTGCCGCCGTCGCCGCGCAATAAATGCATGAATAAATGCGGCGCGCCGCCAACGCCGCCGCCAACTTTTCTTTTTTTTTTTTTTTTCTTTTTTTTTTTTTTTAAAAGGGGGGGGGGGGGGGGGGTATTTTTTGCAAAAATACGCCCCTTCTCCCTTCCCCGGCATTTTTTCCGCTTTTGTATGAACCTGACCAATGCATAGATTAGAGCACTATATAGCTCCTTCGGAGCAGAGTAGCGCAATCTAGAACGCCGCCTCTCGGCGACTAGCGGCGAACGCCCGGAGGTTCCAACTGCGGTCAGAAATGCATGGAGAACGTGAGAAAATCGTTGTTTCTTCAGTATTGTGGGAATGTATGGAATCGCAATCATTTTTGACATAATAATGGAACACTTTAGAATAATTTCCGCTAAGTTTTGTGCCCCGCAAGGACCTGACTTTTTTTTAAAAATTGCCTGAGCGGCATCATGCAGCAGACGACACGGTGATGTCACACCATTCACGTGACCCGCTCCGGCCAACCCGAAAAGCCCATCTCCGCTGCGAGCAAAAATCGTCTGCTTCAAACGCCATTGCCTTGGAAATCGCCTTCTCAAAATTTGCACACGCATCCGATATTGTTAAAACTTTGATAAAGTGTTTAGTGCTTTACTAACTTCACGACAGACTAGTTTTGAAAAGTGTGAACTCGCCGTTCATTTTTTAATCAGCCGTGTTGTGTCGATCTCCATGTATTCTCCCATAGGGCGGGCCGCCTCCTGGAACCCTGAGTACCACGTGACTCGCGCCGAGCCGCTCTGTCGGCCATGTTGTCGGCAAAACACGGGGTTCAAAGGATTGCGTTACTCTGCTCCGTAGGAGCTATATAGTGCTCTAGCATAGATAAAGTGTGTCAGTACGCTTTTCCCTTTCATTTTTACAATGTACAAACAAGGTCCGCTCTGCCAAGCGGACCTTGTACATCGTTCAGAGAAAACACCGTTTCACTGGTGCAATTTTTTCGTCTAGCCGTGTCTTTTGACTCTTCGCGATTCGGGGGAGCCGAAGAGTTTGTTGCTGTTTGTATGAGCGATAAAACCAGTAGGTGGAATGCGCGCGCGGCAGGCGTTGATTAACTTCGTACCTGGCGGCCATCGCCGTGCGTGCGCTTGTCCGTACTCGTCTCTAGGCCTGAATTGTCATCGGGGCCACGCTGCCAGTGACGTACAGTACTCGGGGAGCCCTCGCCGTGCGTGCGCTTGTCCGTACTCGTACCTAGGCGTCTCGCTTTCATGCTGGGGGTCAGTCCCACACACAAAGCTCTGGGGCTCTCCGGCGCGGGCCACGGTGTCTGAACACGCGTGTGCTGGGCTATATACGATTAAAAACGTTTACTCTGGCTTAACATAACAAAATGGTAATAACAAGGTTTAGACGTTGGTTTATGCGGAGGGCAAGTTCGTCTCCTCCTTGCGCAGGGGGGTAGCGGTGACGTCAGAACGCCGAGCCCTGATTGGCTGATCGCGACCCCCTATCTGAGCGTCGTCTGCTCCTTTGCAACGTCGTCTGCTCGCAACGTCATCTGCGTCTGCCTTACCTTTCCTGCGACTTTCGAAAGTGCAGAGGCCAGATTCACGAAACGATCTTACGCCAAAAATGTGCGTAAGAAAATACTTAAAGGGGCCCCACAATCATATTTTAGCGTCTACCTTTTTTGCGGTTTCCACGTCTCTTGGGGTTCGGGTAAGTCAGCGGGCACGGAGAGAGTAACTAAATATCAGTGCGTCATATTTTAACCGGACGACGCGGAAACCTCCTCCACCGATGAGGGCGACCCGCGGTGCTGAAAGCGCGCAAAATGTGACGTCTTTGGTCCTTGGCTTGCCAGTGGTCAAAGCCGCTAAAAGCTTTTTTTTTAGACGAGATACATAATATAAGTGTCGCGAACCGTTTCAATTACGTATGAAAGTAGTTTTTGTTCACTATTTTAGATCAGAAAAGAAACAAATGCAGTTTAGAAAGTACAGAAACAAGAAATGACCCGTTGACATACCCGCCACCAAGCGGCGGAAAAAACGGCGCATGCAAGAAAGAACTAGTGGGATAAGGCTACGACAAACGAGGAGCGTAGAAAGGTCCCGGATGTAAGCGGCGGCGCTGCGGTCGTATACCGGCTCGAGAATCCGACCGGTTCCGAGCGTTCCGAAGGCCTTCGGCGCGGGCCTTGCCGGCGATTTGGCCATTTGTCGGTGCGTCAGCGCGAAGTGGCTCCCGTTCTGAACTGATCTTTACCCAGTGTTTGCCGTCGTTTGTGGCCAATGAAGTGTTACGCCGAATTAGTGTTTAGTCGCACAGCAAATGCAATGCGAGCTGCCCTGGCCGCCCGCTTCATACAGCCTATCCAACACGTGCTTTAGTGGCGCCCTCTTGAGCCGTCGACACAGAGTGCGGCAGCCGTGAGCGCTCAATGGGCTTACTACTCCTCCTCTAGTTCACGGCCACTCAAGTCGGGACCTACGACGTCATGAAGGTTATTTTTTTGCTTGTTTTTGTAATTCTAATTTGCCTATAACTTTTAAAATAAAGCGAAATTTGAGAAAAGAAAATTTTTATTAAGTTACTACGTTCAGTACGCTCAGGTTCAGTGCAAATTAAAAACCAGTCAAAAAGTCATTCATGTCGTATTAGACCTGAGACTGCGGTGGAAGAAATCGGAAGAACTTTCAGTAGAAGGAACAGACACAGAGAACGTCTCAAACTCAGCTAACTGGTTTATTTCTCAAACAGCCTTTAAGTACCCACGGAACTTTTTCCCAACCACACTCTACAGATAAACTCCTTTGTTGCAGACATTTCAAACCGGATGGATACAAAAGATACAAAACAACCCACACATGGGACGAGGACTTAACAATGGGACACTGCGGATCATCACAGTGACCTTGGAGAGGTCACTGCGATGATCCGCAGTGTCCCATTGTTAAGTCCTCGTCCCATGTGTGGGTTGTTTTGTATCTTTTCGATGATCCGCAGTGTCCCATTGTTAAGTCCTCGTCCCATGTGTGGGTTGTTTTGTATCTTTTGTATCCATCCGGTTTGAAATGTCTGCAACAAAGGAGTTTATCTGTAGAGTGTGGTTGGGAAAAAGTTCCGTGGGTACTTAAAGGCTGTTTGAGAAATAAACCAGTTAGCTGAGTTTGAGACGTTCTCTGTGTCTGTTCCTTCTACTGAAAGTTCTTCCGATTTCTTCCACCGCAGTCTCAGGTGTAATACGACATGATTAGCTACCACCAGCTCGCCTGCACTCTCACCGTCTTTTCACAAAAAGTCATTGCAGGGCCCCTTTAAGAACAAATTCGTATTCACAAAACGAAATTTTCGTAAGCTTTGAGCAGGTTACGACGAAATCCTACGACAGCTCCGAAGGTGTCTTACGCACTTCTTACGATCAAATCAGCATGGCCGACAGCGTCACGGTCGCGCCGACCCACGGACGTTTATTTTTCTACGGGCGCTTCTCACGTGTCCCGACTTCAAGCAGCAAGAAAAAAGTAAAAAGTACTTGAAACGGACCACGACGAACAAGAACGCTGGATCCACAAACACCCGGGAAAAGCTCCAACGGCCACGAATCCACTGAACGCGACCAAGCGAGCACGGCAGTTAGGCCTAGCAGGCACTCGGCGACCGTCTGCCCATGACTGGCTGGCGTGGTAAACGGAATATGCCCGCGCGACCCTTGTGAACCCTTCCCGTATTATACTTTGATCGCTGACCTCAGTTTTAGATTAAAAGGTCAATTTCTTCCTCTTGTTATCTCCTTGTTTCCCGAGGCAACGGTGACTCTCCCCGATGAAAAAGCGGTGAATCTCTGACAAACGCAGGAAAGGTAAAGCAGCCATCGCTTTGACTAGCAGACGTAAAGCAGACGACGTTAACTGCACCAACCCGCCGACGCCGTTAAAGAATGAGGGGTCTCGCCGCACACGAAGGGAGGGAAAAAGTATTTGGGAGGGGAACTTGCGGACACTAACACGCTCACTCTCGGTTCTTAGCAAACAAACCTCGGCACCTCGGGACACCTCGCCAGTGAGTCCTTTGACTTCCCTCCTTGATGCGCGTCTGCTAGTTGTTAGACAAAAACAACGTACCGCTCGAGTTATTTCGTCTGCCCTCTCTGAAAGGCCAAGTCGAGCTTGCTCAACTTCCGAAAGTCGCAGGAAAGGTAAGACAGGTGCAGACGACGTTGCCAGCAGACGACGTTGCAAAGGAGCAGACGACGCTCAGATAGGGGGTCGCGATCAGCCAATCAGGGCTCGGCGTTTTGACGTCACCGCTACTTCCTTTCTCGTGCGCAGAAGACGAAAATGAGCCCACTTGTGAGGCGTATTCTTTCATTTACTTCGTCAGGTGCGTAAAAAGCGAGTTTGTAAGTTACGACACTGTTGTTCACCACATAAGTTTGTCTAGGTGGTGGATCTAATCTGTGAAATATTAAAGAAAAGGCTTGCCGCACTCGTCACAAAACAAAAAAAAAACAAAAAAACACTTGTGATTGCAGCTATAGTTAGTGGTTGTAGTCTAAATGCCCACCCTTCCCCATTCAACGGAGCGTGAATGCTCCATGTTCAACACTGCATTTTACAATGACTGCTTTATTGATCTAGCTGGATACTTTTATCATGTGTACCTTTTGTGTAAGACATGCCACTTAGTAATGCAAAGTTCATTGCTATGTTGACTGCATGTTTTACCTTACGTCTTCACCGTAGTTCGGCTGGAATCATCCTTTTTACTAATATAATGCAGGACGTATATCGACAAACCACAAATGTTGCTTTTTTTTTTTTATCTCTGCCTCCTTTCTCCATATGGGATATATAAAGCATTTGATTTTGAATCCCCGCTTCAAGGTCATGTGCCAATTTCCAAACTGAGTGGGTTTTCGTCTTTTCTTTTTTTCAGCAGTCATGTTGTTTAGTGAAGACATCGAAGACGACGATAGCTGGAGCCTTAACCCATATGCACACGACTCACTGCCA